TAGCTTTAGCATCTGCCAGATTGACTTCAGTATGATTGCCCACGCCATCAAGCTCCATCTCATGAGCTTTTAACATACCCACAACTTCATGAAAGCTGAATTTATCTATGTCAAGAGACACAAACATTGCTGCCTTATAAGCTGTAAATCTTTCTGGTAGACATCTTAAAAACTTCTTCACCAATTTCTTGTCCTTGAATTCCATGCCCAGAACACGAGCCTCTTGTGCTAATGCACTGAGTTGAGAACTAAAATCTGATAAAGATTCATGTTCTTCCATCTTCAAATTCTCAAATTTTGATTTGAAAAAATCCATTCTTAAACTCTTAACCTTTTCAGTTCCTTCAAAGTGTAGTTACAGAATATCCCACGCCTCTTTTGCATTCTTGCATCCTTGAATCAGATCGAGTTGCTTCTTTTCAACTGATGTAAATATACCACATAAAGCTTTTGCATTATACTTTGACATCTCCTTCTCACGCTTTGTCCACTTAGCCAATGGTTTGTTGACCACAACACCATCTTTATCTACTGTTTTGGGAACTTCATAGCCATCTTCCACTGATGCCCAAACGTCCATATCAATACTTTGTAAGCTTGCCTTCATCTTCTCTTTCCAGTGTCCATATTGTTCCGGTTCAAGCATAAACTCAGTCACCATGCTTTCTGCTGTACTTTATCTTCCCTTTTTTTCTCTTGCCTTTGGGATTTTCACCAGTGACTTAGGTGACCCGCTCTGATACCAATTGTTGATGTAAAAGGGACACCACAAAGGTACTGCAGAAAGTAAACCAAGAGACAAATACTACAAGCAAGCACTTATGCTTTATTAGAATCTCTTTTAAACAATCTATTACAAGATCTGCTTAATTCAGCTTTTACACGTCTAGTGTTAACACCCTAACACACGCTACTGAAAGATTCTTAAGCTACACCGCTTATGTCTCTCCTCCGTCAAGTACTTCAGCCACTGCTTCAGCACGACCCAAGAACACTTCCAAGAGCTTTTCTCTCTTACTATAAGATTAGTCTATGTGTCTCTGTCTCTCTACAGACGACCCCCTTGCTGTCTTATACTTATTCTCCACGTTCTTGAAACCCTAGTCTCCAAGGAACACAATATGGACATCTTCCATAACATTAAGTGCAACTTTCCTTTTCTTGAAATGCACTTATTCTTCTTTCTTTAAGTCATAAACTTCCTCCTTAAGTTTATTACTCTTGCCTTTTCTCCAAGATACACCCTTGCTCTCCAAGTCTACACGACTCCAGCTCAGCATCTTGACTCCACATGGTCTTCACCACTCAACACGACGTCTACCTCAGCAACTACGTCAGCGACTACTTCAGGGCGGACATCTTACATCTTCATAACCCAGCTATAGACCCGAATTATTCCAGATGGATGCTAATGTTGCAGGGATTTACGGAATAGGTTCTAATAAAATAAGAAAGGTTGTATCTATTTAGAAAATAATATATAACGTTCTTTCTTCTGTATAATAATAATAAAATAATAATAATAATAATAAAATATACAGAAAACCATATAAATAATAAAATTTCGTTGAAACATATATATTTTTAGACATAAACAAATTTTATTTTACTTAATATTTTTTCCTAAACAATATAAATAAAAAGGAAATATCTATAAACTTTCAAATATACTGGTTTATATATAATACCATAATTAGCAAAACAGTTGAAAAAATAAAATAATTTAGATACTTTTAACATTTGTATACTTTTTTATTGTAAATATATTTTTGATCAATTAATCAGAAGAAAATAAATTTTAAACAACATAAACTGATCATCTAATATCTCACTTATCATATCACATGTCAAATTAAGAAAATACAAATTTATTTAGTACTATTTTACTTAATTTCATATATATATATATATATTATAAAATATCTTCATATAATTCTAAAACATTATTAACCAATAAAGAGGATTTTGTTATCTTATAAATATATGTACATGAATTTTTAAATATTACAGATTATGTTTATTAACACAACTCCAACATTTATGTTTTTATTTTTTTTCAAAAAAAAAATATATCAAATTTTATAATATCTATAAAATGTATTAATTGAACTACATAAAACTAAGAAAATAATGATGAAGTTAAAATAGTTCTTTAATATGAAAAATTATTTAGGGAGCATAACATAAAATACATGAACAGATCCAGATAATTGTATATAAAATCACATATATAACTAAGATAAATAATATTTAAAAAGTTGTTAGGATTTGATTATTTTTTAAAGTATTTATTCATGTGCATATAAATACGAAAAATCATCTACGTCCAATTGTTGTTGTCCCTCGAGTTTTTTTTAAACTGAATTTAGGTTTTTAGTGACAAAATTAATGATAAAACAGTAATACTATGTAGCTATGTTAAAGAAGCATTATGTTACACAAGTAGTATTCTCATAAATATATTTAATAGAGTGAATGGTAAAGTAATAAATGATTTATATAAAAAACTATTTTGTATCAATCTAAATATATTTCGGATCTATAGAAAAGTGGAGACTAATCTCTAGTGGAAGGTATATTTGCGGATCGATTATTTTTTGGATATATAAATGAACGTGAAAATATGGTCCTGTATCTTTATAGGTATCTATGAACAGTGTGACTCAATTAATTTTGTATAATAGGTATTCGAATTTGAAATGTGTTAACATCCTAACCTTTTCTCATCTACTCAATTACACTATCTTGAACATCTATAAAATTAGTATATGATAAATATTTTTTATTTCTAAATAATATAGTATATCTAATTTTAATATATATATATATAACTATATATTGGTTTTTTATTTTAAGGAAAATAATAAATTATATTTAATTATATTTTAAATGTGCTATATTCTTTTAACAATATGATTCAAAATTCGTTCAATATAACTTTGCCCGAGGTCAGCAACCCTAAAAAATAAATCCCAAGTTTTTATCACATTCTCTTAAGATGGAATATTTCATTGATTCGGCCACTTTTTCTTGGAATGTAGATTTGCTTAATGCATACATTCATCCCAATGATGTCCAACTAATAAAAGGGTTGGCAATTAGTCGGTCTCGTAGGCCAGATTCTTGTGGTTGGAGTTTTACAGATACCGGTAAATATATTGTTAAATAAGGCTACAAAATAGAATCTCAATTTTCAAAATAGAGTCCTTCATGCGACAACCAATGGACCAGATCTTAATCCATTATTAAGCTATACTTGGAAGTTGAAGTGTCCGCCAAAATTGCGACATTTTATTTGGCAAGTCATTAAGGGGACTATTCCAGTTGCAAAAAACATTGAGAACCAGAGGCATAGACTGTGAGTCACGGTGTAGTTTGTGTGGAGCCGAGGAAGAATCGATTAATCATGTTCTTTTTGAATGTCCACCGGCTTTATAAACATGGGCTTTGACAAAAAATACCTACAACTCCGATTTTTTCCCAAGTTCTTCGGTTTTCTCTAATATGTATTATCTTTTTTGGAGACTACCAAAGGATTATGATTTTGGCTTTTTTCCTTGGATATTATAGTACATTTGGAAGCAATGGTTTTGGCAGATGCCCAACAAATGGCTCCTGACTTTCATCAACCGAATAATCCGTCTTTTGATTGGCTTTCATTAGAGGGTTCCAGAATATGTTTCATTGATGGAGTATGGAAGGCACAAGACAAGTTCACATGACAGGGTTAGTTCTGTAGAATAAATGGTTCGGTAGAGAAGATGATGGGAGCCATGAATTTCTGAAGAAGTTTATCTTCTTTGCATTCTCAATTTCTTTGACAGACTGTTTTCAACTGGTGAAGATGGTGTCATCACCTGGAGAATGGCCAGCCTTTGCTACACGCTTGGAGGAGTTTCAGCGCAGTAAGAATTTTTTTCCTACCTTCAAAATCTAACATATTTCACGAGCGTATAATTTTGTGGCGGATAAGCTGGCACGTGGTGCTAGGTGTTCTCCTTCTGCTATGTTTTATGTCGATTCTATACCTCCGGTTGGGTTCTCTGAACCAGAGGAGCATAGATCATAGTTTAGTTTAGTTATATTGTTGTAAAAAAAAGTAATATATTAATTTTAAGAAATAAATTATTCTGTTAGTTTAAAAAAATATTTTTGGATAAAAATATAGTTTTATGATATTACTAAATAAAATAAACTAATTATATCGAATTATTTTAAATTTGTTATATATTTAAAATGTAAAATGCTATATTAAAAGTTTCATACGAAATCATTTGCATCTGCTAATTTTAATAATAACTGATTAGATAATAAGAAGAATAGTGCTTATGGTAATGTTGTTCTAGGCAGCAAAACCTTAACCGACAAAAAAAAAAGAAAAAGAAAACAATTTACATGGTTTACTTTTCATTCTTGAGTGCTTTTCCTATAGATCGATAAGAAAGCAACCTCCATAAATAAGTCCTGATTCTTTTCACCGAGACTCGAATTTCATTTTTGCGATTCAGATCAAATCACACACAGCCGTTGCCTCCGCTACCGATAAGCTAAATCCCAAGGTATAAGGTAAGAATCTCTGATTCTAAATCAACTTTTCATTTCACTGTTTCCAACATCCCCCAAAGTAGAGAACAATTTTGGATCCAAAAATCCGATCTTGGATTCTATTGATAAAAGAGAACCTGGGTCAAATCAAAACTGGATCTTTAGTGTTTTCTTCGAAGAAATCATTCTCAATTCTTGCCGTGAATAAAAATCTACACTTTTGGCGAAGAAAGATTCAATCATTGTTTTTTTTTTTTTTGTTATTACATGAAACTAGAGAGAGAGAGATGGGAGCATTCGCATCGAGGTTTTGGTTCATGATGTTCCCTGCAAAAGAGTACAAGATTGTCGTTGTTGGTTTGGACAACGCCGGCAAAACGACGACGCTTTATAAGCTTCACTTGGGTGAAGTTGTCACTACTCATCCTACTGTTGGAAGTAATGTCGAAGAGCTCGTTTACAAGAACATCCGCTTCGAGGTACTTATAATTGTCTTTCTCCAATGTCTCTATGTGTTTGAATTGGAATGCTCTGTTTATGCTCTTGTCACAAACAAATTTTGAACTTTATTCTTATGGTTTCTTAATCACACTTGCATTGCTTAAGCTATGGTTTTAGGCTTTGCAAACCTTGAGTTGATACAGTTTTGTCTTTAGGTGTGGGATCTTGGTGGGCAAGATAGGCTGAGAACATCATGGGCAACGTACTATAGAGAAACCAACGCTGTAATTGTTGTTATCGACAGCACAGACAGAGTTAGAATCTCTCTCATGAAAGATGAGCTGTTCGGATTACTGGGGCATGAGGATCTTCAGAGCTCTGTGATACTCGTGTTTGCTAACAAACAGGACCTGAAAGACGCTATGAGCCCAGCTGAAATCACTGACGCGCTTAACCTTCATAGTATCAAGAACCATGATTGGCACATTCAAGCAAGCTGTGCTGTTACTGGAGAGGGATTGCATGATGGTCTTGGTTGGATTGCTCAGAAAGTTACTGATAAAGCTCCAAAGTAAAGAGGGAATATCACAAATTTAATCACATAACCTTCCCATTTTCTCTCTTTTTTTTTTACAATGTATTGAGTCCGCTCTTCATGTGATGGAATTCACCTATTTGGTTTATTGTAGTTGAATTGGTATTCTTCACAAGATCTTAGCCTCTCTTATTGGTATTGATTGCAATATCTGCCGCTGGCATTTCAGTTTTGAGTCGTATCCTCTTGAGTTGCTCCAATGAAACAAGCTTATTTTGTTTCATTTTAGGGCTGCAGTGAAAATATATTTCTTAGGGCTGTGAAATTTAGGATAAAAACGAAGGTTAATTGGTTTAGTTTTAAGGGATGTAAAGAAACATGTGGATGTAACGTCTAGACTCTAGAGCTAAAAACAAATTTATCATACCGTTTGGAATGGTTTTGCACATGCATGCCAACTAGAAAACGATGTGACACAGTCACGTCATGAGTTTTGAACTTTTGATCATATATACAAAATTAAGGTATTGACGTCTTTTTTTTTTTTTCGTCATCAATGGATTATACTTAACGAGTGAACTTCATTTCTTATCGACCTATAACGGCAGTGACCACACTCTTTCAAGAGCCATATAAGCCGCCGAAGCAAAGATAAAACTAGACTGAAACCGAACATAGTACACAAACTTAAAATAAAACAAGACGGAACCAGAGCAATAAAAGTTTCTAGAGCTAAACCAGAATCATCAAGGAAGCGTAGCAAATCGGAACCGGATGCCAGAATGAACAAAGATGAACCGGATACCAAAGGTATTGACGTCCGAGTTCCGACCATACTTTTGTTTAGGAAGATCGATATCGAAAACTCGTCACAAAATGTTGAATCAGTAATATTCGTATACTTTTGTTTAGGAAGATCGATATCGAAAACTCGTCACAAAATGTTGAATCAGTAATATTCGTATCGTTTTAGATTTTTGTTGGTCCCCTGCTGGTTTGCTACCTCTTATTGTTTTTATATATTTTATGAACTTATAATGCAGACGATAGGGTCAATTTTAGCTTAACTAACAATGCAATCAACATACATGCATTGTCCTTATTGTTGGAATACCAGATTCAATGAAAGTCTCTTCTCAAAATCTTTCCAAGTAATAGATGTTCTGATTACAATCTTTTGGCAGTAGTTATTTTTATTGTTTTTTCTGGAACACTTATATTGGTTATTGAAAACATTTTAATTTTAAAATAATAACATTTCGAAACAATAGTTTTTGCAACTAAAAACAGATAGTGGCTTATACCAATAACCCTACTTAAAAAAAAATTAACATAAACGTTAATATGCAATTTCATAATATCTTTTCTGCAAAAAAATGAATACATCATTTAATATTTACTCGAGGCTAAAATAATATTTAATTACTTTTACCTAAAATTCTGAGATCTTTTCTGATAAAGTGTTTGCAAATTTTGAGAACTAAAATCTTGTCCCATACGAAAATAAATTTTCATACAAAACGGCATGGCTTGGTCTACGACTTTCATTGCTTTTTGTCTCCCAGTTATCTAACCATTACAGCTGTCGACACCACTACGAATTCAACCTTTTCAGATTTTAGTAGTAGGAAAAGTTTTTTGTATTTGATGAAATTTGAAATTTATTGATCACTCAAAAAATCCATTTACAAACAAATATGAACTAGGTGATTTTCCCGTGCTCATGCACAGGTATGAATATTCATAAAAATAAAATTTTATAAGAATTGATTGATATTTACTTTTACTTTTGAATCAATTTCTATGTATAATTTATATTAATAAATATTCTATTATTCTAATTATACATATGACTTTGGATATGTTATTGTCGATTTAATTATTTTTTGTATCAATAGTCGGTTTGGTTATCAATTTGATATATTGGATAATATCTATTTTTCGAGTTCAGCTATAATGTTTTTTTTTTCTAAATATAATTGAATTTTTTTAATTTTCTTATTTTCATTTCGGTTGGTTATTGTCTTAGATATGTAAATATATTCTTAGATATGTAAATATACTATGGTTTAATTATGTATAACTTAATATATATTGTGCTTAAAATGAAATATATAATAAGCTAAAGTGTTTGATTCAAAATTACATAAATAAATATTATAATAATATTTTGAAGTCTCAGCATATATATAAATTCTACAAAAGAATTAAATTGTAATTGGTTAATATTTTATTTTTTTATTTTTAATATGCTTTGAATCAACCTCTAGTTTATATGTATAAAATTAAATATATTATTATTATTATAATAAATTATATTTTCTTATTTTATTTGGATGTTTAATTTTGGATATAAATTAGATTAGTCTAGTCATTTATTTTGTGAGTATATTGAGTTAAATATATTTTTAAATTAAAATTGACACATAATTACTTTTTATTTTAGTTGAGTCAAATCAAATTAGTTTTAAACTTTTATGTATCGCTTAAATATACATGTATTTTCAGAATATTTATTTACTCTTTATTTTAGTTAAGTCAAATCAAATTAGTTTTATTTATCACTTAAATATACATGTATTTCATAATATTTATCAAATTATATGTCAATTTCTAAAAAAATATTAGAATATAAAGTGTCACTGATAAATTTTTGGATGTTCATGAACATATATATTTTTATCATTTTGAAAATATATTTTAAGTTATTTAAAAATATATATTAATGGGCGTATTACTAATTTGTGAACTTTCTTTTTAATAAAGTCATATTATGTATATATTAATGGGGGTATTACTATTTTGTGAACTTTACTTTTTAATAAAGTCATACTATATACATTAAATTTCGTTTTTAAATTTATTTTAAAATTATAGAAATATTTCCTTTTTATTATATATGTTATTTGGAAAAAGATAAAAAAAAATTAAATAAAAAAATTTAATAATAATCTTAAAATCTAACAATTCATTAAGGGTATCTATGTAATCAACCATCGCGAGAGTTAACGTGAGCGCGACACGTAGGAAACTGACTTCTCGAATAATATTGTAGAGATAATATGAAAGGAATATAACCAAATGAAAACAAAAAGAGCTACTGTAATGATATGAATTTCTTGACATATTAATTAGTTCCGAACACTTCAGACCAACGTCTCATTAGACCCTTTCCCTAGTAGTTTTAATCTAGGTTAGCTGTTTTTTTTTGTGGAACATTAGCTCTTTTTGTTCTTAAACCCTCTTTGTGTGTTGAACAAAAAAATACCTTCTGTGCGTTGAACCAAAAAAATCCTTTCTATTATTTTGGTAAAATATTGAAGATTGCTGATCCTGATCAAATTCAAGAAATTATAACCATTTACTGTAAAATTTAATAGTATAAGAACTATAAAATTTATTGTATATTTTAACTCTTTAAAATCTAAAGATTAAAGTCAGTATTTCATTCAGTTTTACTAATAAACTAGATCATGACCCGCATTTATTTTTTCCGATGTACTCTATATAATTTAGTTTTATATAGTTTCAAGTTTGTCTAATTTAATTTTATGTTAAAACAATAGCGTCAAGCGGTGTATTATGTAGATATAATCGTGCAGTGAACTCAGTACATTTGTTTGAAGTGCAAAATCAAATTCAAAGTTAATTGTTTGCATTAAAAAAATAAGTTGAGTGTTTAATTACTTCTGATGTTAATAATTATCCAAAGTTTTTAAAATAATATACAAATTTGTAGAATTTTTGGCATTAACCTTTATTTTGTAGGTTATGTCAAATTCAAACTTATCTTTAGTCTTAACTTTTCAAGCACGTATATATTATGATGAAAAATTTCTTAAACAACTTAACAAATATTTTGGTAATTTGAAAGAATTTATATGTTTAAAATATTTTTTTTCATTTAAATCAGTATTTTTAAATTCAATCCGGACCGCGGTGATCCCGGTTAAACCGGTGATCCGATAATTTTATTTTAATTTTTAAAAATATACATATTTAAATAATCACTAAAATCCTGGACTAACCAATTAAACCGATGGATAACTGATATATAATACTTAAATCTGTAAAAATAAGTTTCCTTTCATCGTTTTATATATTATTTGATTTTTTTTTTAATTTATCTAAATAATTTGAATGAAAATATTAAAAAAGGTGAGATCTAATATTGTATTGTTTGGATATAAAATTAATGATAGTGTCGGTTGGAAACATGGATAGTAGTATAAAGAAATGAATATATTGTTTGTAAACATAGATAGTAATATAAAGAAATAAATATATTGTTTGGAAACATGGATAGTAGTATATAAAAAAGAATATTAGTAATTTAATGTATGTTTAACTATAAAGTAGGAAAATATATTTAATTTAAAAACTTACAAAATAAATGTTAGGTCCAATCTAATGTTTTTGTTTTAATTAGATAGATACAATATATATTGTTCCAACAATCAGATCACACAATTTTTGGCTGCTCTGATTCTTTGCTCTTTTTAAAATTCATTTGATGCCTCAGTATAACTCATACTTGAGTGAAACTGATCTATGCATCTACTCACTTGGGTCAATATCGGTCACGACGGAATCAATGGCTAAAAATCCTTGAAAAAACGTACAAGAAACTGTACACTTTCTACGGAGATACGAAGTTACGGAAAACTCGTATCAAAGTATGAAATAATCAAAAAGACCTCCTTGTTTGTTGGGGTCAAAAACGGTAACCTCGAGATCAACGTCTACTGTAACGGTAACCTCCTTATTTCTCCTTATATTCTTCGAGAGGATCCCGGGTCGAGAAAACGAGAAACGATCAAAACCGATCAACCAACCAGCTCGCCTGTTGGCGAGCTGAACCAAACCATCCTTGCCCCTCGACTCAATCGTACTCTGAACCGTGATCGGAACATCTCTCATTTCGTCTCGATCCGTCTTACCGTTGAAGTTTTACGAGAAAAACCGTAAAAGACTTGTTTTCTCGTAAAACCTCGAGTAAATCGTATAAAACGACAACAGTTAAACAAAACACTGAACATTGCCAAACTATACGATTAAACTCGAGATATTTTATAAAAACCATAAAAGGCTTGTTTTCTCGTAAAACCTCGAGTAAATCGTACAAAACGGCAATGGTTAAACAAAACACCGAACATTGCCAAACTATACGATTAACACGAGATATTTTATAAAGAACCGCTAAAGACTTGTTTTCTCTTAAAACCTCGAATAAAT